AGTACTTAACCTGAGGTACCACTGTATATGCATTTTTGGTACACCTGCTCCCTAATCTCAGGAACCATTGTGCAAAATTTGTTCATGGTTTCTTAAGAGGTATCAAAATGCATAGTGAAAGAACAACTTTCAAAGACCACACAGCAGGCAATATGGTCTCTGTGTTTGGAGAGGCTCTGAAGAGTTGGTATTAAGATGGGGAAAAGGACCCAGGTTCTCTTCTTGCCCGACAGTCACTCCTATGCTTTTCGATTACTCCCCACTTGGAGCCTATCCAGGACAAAGCTAGCAAAATCACAAACCAGAAACGATATCATGCCATGGATTTAAATCGTTGTGTTGTCTGCATTATAGACCTGGGATGGGGAACCTGAGGCCAAGGGGCCAAATGCAGCCCTCAAGGTATCTGTATTCTGCCCTTGGTACTCCTCCTAAGCCACACCCCTCTCTGGCCTTCTTCTACTGGAATGGAAAGGACGCGGGTGGCTCTGTCGTCCAAATCACTGAGCCTCTTGGTCTTGCCGATCAGAAGGTTGGCAGTTCAAATCCCTGAATCGGAGTGAGATCCTGTTTCTCTGTCCCAGCTCCTGCCAACCTAGCGGTTCGAACGCACACCAGTGCAAGTAGATCAATAGGAACCGCTGTGGCAGGAAGGTAAACGGCGTTTCCATGCGCTTGGTTTATGTCATGGTGTCCCGTTGCACCAGAAGCCGTTTAGTCCTGCTGGCCACAAGACCCAGAAATCTGTCTGTGGACAAACACCAGCTCCCTTGGCCTGAAAGCGAGATGAGCGCTGCAACCCCATAGTCGCCTTTGACTGGACATAACCATCCAGGGCTCCTTTACCTTTTTCTTTTCTTTTTACTTTTTACTGGAATGGGTGCTTTAGGTGAGATTCCTGCATTGCAGGGGGTTGGACTAGATGACTCTTGGGGTCCCTTCCAACTCTACAATTTGAGGATTTTATGATTGTATTAATGTTGTCCTTGAGCTTTGCTAGTGTCTCTTGTTTGGCTGGATGGAGGATAGAAGGAGATGCATGAGTGTGTATATACTGTAGATACTCACCAGTTTCTACACAGGGAAAAATTGAATTTGTTGCTCTGCCCACTATGCCTCTGGCTCCACTCAGCACTGGCATGTGGCCCCTAGAACATTGCCCAGAACTGAATTGGACCCTCAGTGTGAAAAAGGCATACTGATCTTTTTTTAAATTTTTTTAAAGAAATCCCACAGTGCCTTAAAAATTGAAGTTTGGATCAGATCCAAAGGTTCCATTTCTCCAATGGAATGTGCTTCCTCCTCTGCTAGAACAAGGGAAACATCGGATCCGACCCTGAGGTTGCAGTCTTTATATATGCTTCCTTGTAAGTCAGTCCCCTTAACTCAGTGGCACTTAGCTGCATGTATTTCTGAATCTCAAACCTCAGAAATTTTATTTATTTTTTAAAGATGGATAATGGGAAAGAAAGTGATTTGGGAAATGATGAAGGAGGGGGGAGATTCTATTTCCAGGTTTCCAACAACTTCTTTACAACATCGGCAGATGAATGACTCCACAGAGCAGGTGATGCAAAAACAAAGTGAGCGCCAGACCTGTAGAGGGACCATTTTTTTGCATCCCCATAAATGAGAGCAGCAGTACTGGAGGGGAGCTGGAAAATGCAACCTCCAAAGTAGTAAATCTTCCATTGATGGGTCTTGGCAAGGCACCAGCTGGAAGAGAGGGTGAAGTCAGACCTGAAGTACATAATAATGTGCTCAGGATTGGGGAAGGAAATGCAGAACTGTGTGACCAATATAGGTTTCCTTTTTCTTTCTTTTTTTGCAGGTGGTTGAATGTAGCACGTGAATGCCCCTCAGTAGATGAGCTGCACAGGCAAACAGTCATTCACATGTATTCACAGTGCTGTTTTTCTAGAGAAAGAGGTGCCAGAGCTCACCAGGAACTTCTCCCCTGTTCTTTTAGAATGGCAATGGCACACACCTGAGAGGGGCTGGAGCTGAGCGTCAGTGAGCTCCGGCTGGAAAAAAAAGCCCTGCACGTAACATTCACAACATAGTATACACATCAACAAGTGTATATACTGATTCACACAAACACTTGTACATGTGTTCAGTGCAACCTGTGAAGAAGTCTTTAATAATAATAATAATACCCCAGTGTGGTGTAGTGGTTAAGAGCGGTAGATTCGTAATCTGGTGAACCGGGTTCGCTTCCCCGCTCCTCCACATGCAGCTGCTGGGTGACCTTGGGCTAGTCACACTTCTCTGAAGTCTCTCAGCCCCACTCACCTCACAGAGTATTTGTTGTGGGGGAGGAACGGAAAACGAGAATGTTAGCCGCTTTGAGACTCCTGAAGGGGAGTGAAAGGCGGGATATCAAATCCAAACTCTTCTTCTTCTAATAATAATAATATTCATTATTTATACCACACCCATCTGGCTAGGGTTCCCCAGCCACCCTGAGTGGCTCCCAACAAAATACTCAAAACACGATAAAACATCAAACATTAAAAACTTCCCTAAACAGGGCCGCCTTCAGATGTCTTCTAAAAGTCAGATAGTTGTTTCTTTCCTTGACATCTGATGGGAGGGCATTCCACAAGGCGGTCACCACTACCGAGAAGGCCCTCTGCCTGGTTCCCTGTACTTTTTTTTTAAATGATATTTATTACTTTTTTAACATTTCCAACACAAACAAAAAAAGAAAAAAGAAAGAAAGAAAAAACAATGCAAATACAATACAAAAACGCTACATAGACTAAAGAAAACAAATAAAAACAAGCAAAAACAGTTTAAAATCACCTCAAACATTTTTAATATCTTATATTTCATTCACTTATTTCCAACGACCTCCTCTCACCTCCCTTTTTGTATTCCACTTCTATTATTTGTTTCAGCAATTCCTTTCCATCTTACTCTGTTTTCTGTTCTATAATTATCTTTACACATTCTTGTCATACTTTTCCTTTAATTTTCTATTAATCTATTTATACCTAATTCCTTATGACATTTCTGCTAAAGCCATATAGTTTCATTCCAACATTTTTCTAACATTCCTTAATTTTACAATATCTCTCTAAATGGTCTTTAAACTTTTTCCAATCTTCTTCCACCGACTCTTCACCCTGGTCTCGGATCTTGCCAGTCATTTCTGCCAATTCCATATAGTCCATCAATTTCATCTGCCATTGTCCAACGCTTCAATGTTTTCAAAAAGCAACCATTCTCTCAACCAGCAAAAAGCAGATGGTTCACAGCAAAATTTAAAGGTCTGGCAGGGCAGGTCCTCCTCCTTCTTTGGTCCTCCATCAATATCTTAAGTTTTACTCGAGGCTTCCTGCCCTGCCAAACAACTCTAGGAGCATCCCTCTGCCACCTCCTGAAACCCTCCGTCCTATGGCTCCCTGTAACCTCACTTCTCACAGTGAGGGAACCACCAGAAGGCCCTCAGAGCTGGACCTCAGTGTCTGGGCTGAATGATGGGGGTGGAGATGCTCCTTCAGGTATACTGGGTTGAGGCCATTTAGGGCTTTAAAGGTCAACACCGACACTTTGAATTGTGCTTGGAAACATACTGGGAGCCAATGTAGGTCTTTCAGAACCAGTGTTATATGGTCTCAGCAGCCACTCCCAGTCACCAGTCTAGCTGCCACATTCTGGATTAATTAAATCAGTGCATGGTTGAACTAGCCATGGTGACTATGCTCTGACTTTGTAGTCAGAGGCAGTAATGATTCTGAAGACCAGTTGCTGAGAATTGCAAGAGTGGGGAGTGTTCTTGTGCTCAGGTTCTGCTTGTGAACGTCTGCTTGGCCACAGTGAGAACCAGATGCTGGGCAAGAAGAACGATTGGGCAGCCTTTGGAACCCCCAATTGCTGCTGAACTTCAGCTCCCATCAGCCCTGGCAAGCATGGCCAAAAGCTAGGGAAAAGGGGAGTTGCAGTTCATCAACATCTGGAAGGCCAGAGGTTTCCAACTCCTGCCTTAGAACTTGCCATCTTGCTCATCACTAGTGGGCCATAATGGGACCATAGATCCATGAGTCACTGCAGGGTTCCTTTCGACCCAAGCCTTCAGTGCAGAGGTGGGGAACCTGTGGCTCTCCAGATGTTGCTGGACTCCAACTCCCCTCATCCCTGGCCATTGACCATGCCTGCTGAGGCTGATGGGACTTGGAGTCCACCAACACCTGGAGGGCCACAGCTTCCCCTCACCTGCTTTATGACACAAGAGAAATCCCCACCACAACAGCACATTGTGCTCTCCATCAAAGTGGGGGAAGAACACCCACCCACTACACCGGTTGGAATCTGGGAAAGGCGCATTTGAGTCATTAGCTGTGCAATGAAAACAAATAAATAGACCATGGTGACATTTATGGGGAAGGCCGCCAGAACACTGAGAATTCCCGTCCTGATGCTGTCAAGGCCTTCCCAGCACCGGGGGTATTTAAAGCTAAATTAAAATCCTCATTAGCTGCTCTTGAGAGCCTTCGTGTTGATGAGGTCCCTGGTGGATGTGGTTTTTACAGGGAAGGACATAAACCTGTGCAGTGTTGCTGCAGTGCAAGCTTCCAGCTGTGCTGATGTCAGCCCAGCAGGATATGTCGGTGCTCAACCTAGGTTTGCCTGCAGAAACCCAGAGTTGACAGGGATGCAGGTATAACACACCCTCCAACATTTCTCTGGTGAAAATAGGGATACCCTAAGGAAAAGCGGGGAATTCCAGCATCAAATCAGAAACCAGGACGGCTTCTGTAAATCCAGAACTGTCCCTGGAAAATAGGGAGACTTGGAGTGTCTGGTATAGAGTTGCTAGAGTCAGCTGAGAAGAGTTAAAAAGATTTGGCTGCATGTTTGTGATAAAGATAATAAGGAGAGGAAGAAACCGTCCCCCTGATGAGTCAGACTAGTGGTCCATCTGGTTGATTATTGTCTACACTAACTAGATCTGCTCTCCAGGGTTTCAGGCAGGAGACATTTCCAGCCTTACCTGGAGATGCCCAAGATTGAACCAGGAACCTTCTGCCTGCAAAGCAGATGCTCTACCACTGAGCTGTGGTCTTCCCTGTGCCTAGATAGTGCCTACAGTCTCTCCAGATGTCTAAGGAACATCTTTCTGTTGAGTAAAGGACCATAACTCAGCAGCTGAGCATCTGTCTTGCTTGAGATGGTCCCAAGTTTTTCTTGGAAAAATCTCTCTCTCTCTCTCTCTCTCTCTCTCTCTCTGTGTGTGTGTGTGTGTGTGAGAGAGAGAGAGAGAGAGCTCTAAGTCATGTACCTGTCTACCTGTGTTCCAAAGTGGTAGAGCCATAAAACATAAATATCCACTTATCTGAGAGACAGCTTTCTTCCCATAGATCCACCTGGACTCGGCAGAGGGCCCTCTTGGTAGCTCCACCTCCCTCAGAAGTTCAGACGGTGGTGGCCCAGGAGAGGGCCTTCTCTGTGACAGCCCCTAAGTGTGGAATTCCCTCCCCACAGAGGTGTGCCCTGAAACCTTCACTATACAGCTTTCAGCCAATGCTGAGATTTACCTTGGCCTTGCACACCTGAGGGTTGTGTGCGTGTGTTTTTAGGACACACCCTATTCCTGTAACTGTAATCTGTTCTGGCTGTTTTAAAATTTGATTTTTGAGTCATGAAGTTGTTGTAACCCATCCTGGGACCTGTTGGTGAAGGGTGCCAGCTAGTGTGTCCTCAATATTTTCTTGATCACGGTGGTCTGGAACCGAACCTGCAATATCTGCAAGTTATGCCTGTATATACAGTCATACCTCGGAAGTTGAACGGAATCCATTCCGGAAGTCTGTTCAGCTTCCAAAACGTTCAGAAACCAAGGCATGGCTCCTGCAGCCAATTGGAAGCCACGGAACCCGTGTTGGACGTTCAGGTTCCAAAGAACGTTCGCAAACTGGAACATTCACTTCTGGGTTTGTGATGTTCGGGAGTCAAAACATTTGAGTCGCGAGGCATTTGCTTTCCGAGTTACGGCTGTACATATTTGGTTGGTTTGCCTTTAAATGCAAACTGAATCCCTAATCTGTAAGCAGCTGACAGACTGCTGAAGGGAGTTTTCCCCCCTTATCTTTATTAACTGTGAACTTATCTCTGCGCTTAGATACACAGCCCAGAAGGGAGGAGGAGTAAAGTTGAAGCGGGAAGAACCCAGCTCTACAAGGATCTCATGCCGTGCAATACATTGGACCTGTGCTTAAACACCCTGTTAATTAACACCCACGCTCCCCTGAGACTCATGTTAAACACGCAGTTCTTGTGACCAAGGTATACAGGAGTTGGGTGCCATCAAGCAATCACTCAATAAGTCAACAATTTCAAAATACCATAAATTAATCCACGGGTGTAATTCACCCAAGAGCAGAGGAGATAATAAATCTCATTGTTGACGTTAAGGGTGACTAAGGAATCTGCTTCTGGAACCTGCCAACGTGATGCCCGGGTGATGCCAGGAGGTGAAGGTGAAAGCAGGGAGGGGGAAGCTATCGCCCGTCCATCAGCAGTGAGAGCTGTCATCAGCATGAGATGGAAGGGGCCTTCCCAAAGGTATTTTGTGTGGCAGAGACAATGGGAGGTGTCCCTTGCCCTTGGGCATTTTGGATGACAGTAGAATGGGCACTAGGAACAGCTACTGGTCGCAACGGCTATGCTCTTTTGAATGCCAGTTGCTGGAAACCACAGGAAGACAGAGTGTCATGCTTGGGGGTATCCCCAATGTGAGAAAAGGATGCTGGACTGGATAGGCCATTGGCCTAATCCAGCGGGCTCTTCTGCTGTTCTTAGGAATCTCCCAAGGGCATGGAGGGAATGTTCTCCCTCAAGGCACAGGGCATGGCAAGCCAACACTTGCCACAAAATGGGACGCTTAGAGGCATTGCTTCTGCCCTGCCCACGCGGCCATGTCACATCCACTAGTGCCAAGAGGGCACAGTGGGGTATATTAAAAGTGCTATGCTCTCAAAAGTTGCTCCAGCCCCCCATTCTCAGCTCCTATCCCTTCTGCTTTGGGTGCACCCACCCTACAGGGAAGGCCTTCGTAAGCTAGAACCCAGCACCCCTTAAGTCTCTGACATTTTCTTGGGATATCTTAGAAAGAAAGAAAAGGGAGAGAACTCTATATACAGTTCCTGCAGCTCTTGCATTTAGGAGTGAAACTGACCAATCAATAAGCTGATTACCACCTTCTCGGTTAGTTTCCGTGGTACTTCCGAAGTGTCAGTTTTCATTCTGTTCACCGTCTACAGAAATGTTTCTCTTCTGCTGCAGTTCGTCCCCTGGCGAACACATTGGAATCTGCCTAATCAGACTATTGGTCCATCCAGCTCAATATTGTTGACACTGATTAGCAGCAGCTCTCTGGAATTTCTTCCCCCACCCTACCCAGAGTTGTCAGGGATTGAACCTAGGACCTCCTGCGTGCAAAGCAAATGCCCTACCACCGAGCTACAGCCCTATGCTATTTGATTCACTGTTAGCTGTGGCAAATGTTTGCTGAGTTTATTATGCAATAAATTACACCATTAGTTATAAAATTAATTACAACATTAATTATAAAATCAATTACACCATTAATTATAAAAAATAATTAACAATTAATTATGCAGATCCACAATCTGCATACTATTAATTATGCAGATCTTTTCAATGGAAAGGAAACCCATCATGAGTTACATATCATCACATATCATTTGTGGACTGAAAACCACCACAACAGTAAATACCGATTGATTGATTGATTGATTGATTGATTGATTATTATTATAAATATTGTATTTTAATATTTTGCTGGATGCTGCCCAGAGTGGCTTGGGAAACCCAGCCAGATGGGTGGGGTATAAATAAATTAGTAGTAGTAGTAGTAGTAGTAGTAGTAGTAGTATTGAATTCACTGAATTGATCTCTGTTCTGGACACGGGACAATGAAGCAAACATCAGCAATTTCTGCTTCTGTTTCCATTTTTGTTGGAGCTCTCTTGGCATCCCTCCTTAAGAGGAAGGCCTTTTGGACCACAGCCCCAGAGTGAAATTCCTGACCCCACTAGAAAGCAACAGCATCGCATCCATTGGAAAGGAAGTGGGAGTGTAATTACAAAGACTCCTGATCCTAACCGCAGCAGCTCAGAAACAAGTCCCATTGATCTCAGCGAGGCGCACGTCCAAGAAAATAAGCAGATGAATGCAGCCAAAAAAATGAAGTCTACCCCTGGACACTCTCCAGTTCTCGAGCAAAGCCCATTGAGGCAGATTTGTACTGAAAGACTTTCCTTGAGTTCAAAATTGACTTCGGAATTGATTTTAAAAGTTTGATGTGTGTTTTTTGACCTTAGCATCATTACAGGCCAAACAGTGGCTGCGCTTCAGTAGGGAAAAGCAACAGCCCAGGTGGAAAATCTTGCCTAAGTAGACCATAAGTGCATCTGCATCTGGCTGCATAATAGCATATCAGTGACATGCGCAAAGGTGATGTATGTGCGTGCATGAACTTCTGCACTTAAACACACTGTCTGTATGTGTGTGTGTGCGCGCGCATTCATCTATGTTCCATATTTTAATGCTCAGCGTAGTCAACTGGCCAGGCTCCATCAAAGTTTATCCTCACATTATCTATTTTAAAATGCCATGGAAACTGGCCAATTTTTGTAATTGTTAACTCTCTGTTATATATCATGACAAACATTTTACATAGGAAACATATGGGGGGAATTTGGCATTCATTCCAGATGGGCAGCCGCCAAGCCCACTGATACATGTGCAATCTCCAGGGGGGCCTATATATTTCCCCTCTTATGGGCACTTGGCTTCTAGTTAAAAAATAAAAAGGGCCATTCATTCAGCTTTCGCCGGTCAGAGTGGAAGGCTGCAATTGGGAAATGCAAAGGGAAACAGAACTACGGTTTAATCTGCAGTGAGTAAAATGCTCCTGCCTTGGAATCCAAACTAACTACGCACACTCAAACAGACAAAGCTGGGGAAGGGGTGGGGAATAAAAGACTTTTCTCAATGATACCATCGCCTCCTTGGAGCCAGGGCATTGTTGCCTGTCCCTTGTTTTAATTCCCTCATGTCCTTGGGTCTCTGAAGATGCAGAATCTTCTCCAATTAGCCCAAAGAAATGCATTATCTAAGGCTCCATCACCATGCCAATTATTTCTTTTCAGTGTCACTCAAGCAAAAGTAATGCCAACTTTCAGAAAGGAAATTGAAGTCATGCAGATAGAAGCAAGTTCAAGGTATGAGCCAGCACGACCCAGGTAGATTCTGCACAGCTTTGCATTTCCAGTCCAAAACGGGAAGAGTCTTCAAATCGCAGCATAAATAGGTGATTCGGATGACATTCCCTGGCATGAGAGAGAGAGAGAGAGAGAGAGAGAGAGAGAGAGAGAGAGAAATACAGTGGTACCTCGGGTTACATACGCTTCAGGTTACAGACTCCACTAACCCAGAAATAGTACCTCGGGTTAAGAACTTTGCTTCAGGATGAGAACAGAAATCGTGCTCCGGCGGCACGGCAGCTGCAGGAGGCCCCATTAGCTAAAGTGGTGCTTCAGGTTAAGAACAGTTTCAGGTTAAGAACGGACCTCCAGAACGAATTAAGTACTTAACCCGAGGTACCACTGTAGTTTGAAAGCCAGCGCTGGTGAAGCATTCTAGCACTGAAGATGCATGGCAGTGCAACATACATTTAAAAATAAAATAAGAAAAGCCCAGATGGATCTGGCCAATGCCCATCTAGTCCTTTATCCTATTCTCTCAGTCGCCAGCTAGGTGCCCAGATGAGAGTCCCAAAAGCAGGAGTTGAGTGCAGCAACACCTCACCCCACTTGGGAGTCTCAGCAGCTGGAAGAATAGGAATTCCAACAGTGGAGACAGAACACAGTCAGCATACCTAGTAGCCACTGGAAGCCTTCTCACTCTATGAATTGGTTTTATTTCCTTTCAAAGCCATCCACCCAGGTGGTCATCACAGCATCTTGTGGGAGCAAGTTCCATGATTAAACTATGTGCTGTTTGAAGATGGACTTCCTCTTGTCTGTCCTGATTCCTACACCATTCAGTTCTAGCATTTAGGGACGTTTTTAATGTCTGATGTTTTATCGCTTTAATTATTATTATTATTATTATTATTATTATTATTATTATTTCTGTTGGGAGCCACCCAGAGTGGTTGGGGAAACCCAGCCAGATGGGCGGGGTATAAATATATTATTATTATTATTATTATTATTATTATTATTATCATCATCATCATCATCATCATCATCCCTGCCCACTTTCTCCAAGCCGTTATGCATTTCTGCCATGTCACTGCTTACTTGATTTCTCTCCAAACTAAAAAGCACGAACGAACAACACAACTTTTCCTCATTAAGGGAGTTGCTCCATCCCCTTTAAGATTTTGGTTGCCCTTTTCCGAAACTTTTCCAGCTCTGTAATACCATTCGTCATATACTGTATATACCGTATTTTTTGCTCTATAAGACTCACTTTTTCCCTCCTAAAAATTAAGGGGAAATGTGTGTGCGTCTTATGGAGCAAATGCAGGCAGCGCAGAAGCCAGAACAGCAAGAGGGATTGCTGCTTTCACTGCGCAGCGATCCCTCTTGCTGTTCTGGCTTCTGAGATTCAGAATATTTTTTTTCTTGTTTTCCTCCTCCAAAAACTAGGTGCGTCTTGTGGTCTGGTGCGTCTTATAGAGCAAAAAATACGGTATATAATATTACTCTATCAGCCAACAGCCCACTGCCTATTTATGAAATGCACTGGACTGTGGTATATGAGAGATGCATGGCAGTGCCTGCCGTCACCTTGGTGCAAACCTCAAAGTGCATAGGTGTAATTGAGAGCAGACTTTCAACCTGTAGCTGGAACTGTGGGGAGACACTCCCTTGCTTAGCAAAAATAAAAAAATGAAAGAAATCCCCTTTGAACAAAGCGCCCACTTGTTGCTAGGTACAGCCTAGCTGTCAGCCGCCGAGAGCGGGTTGTTTATGTGTGACCTGTTCGTAGAGAACTTTTGAACCCTCCATGTTTCATAAAGAGCTGATTCTAGGGTTACTCAGCGTTCATGGAGTAGAGGAGCGTGACTGCAGTCAAATCATGCCCTGACAAAGGCATGAATCAACTCCAGAGTTGCAAGAGGGTGGTGACTTAAGAAATATGGGCTAGGAAAAAAAGAAGAAAAGGAGGGGGGAGCTGGACATGGGAACGCAAGGTCATTTCTGGACTTTCACCCAGGCCACAGTATCTGCTGGAAAGGAGGCAGCGGCAGCTGCTGGCCTAATCTGGATTATTTCCACATTGCAAGAGGAAGTTAGAATATCCTAGGTCCCGTCTTAGGCAATGCTGTGGTGCTGACATTTTGGCTGGGGACAAGCTGGGTTCATTCAGAGGACAAAGAGCACCTAGTCAGGGCTGGCCCCAGACATTTTGTCGTCTGAATTATTTCTGTTTAATTACCATTTGCTGATGTTTTGAGAGCTGATTTTATTGTGTACTATTATATTCTAATAGATTGTTTTGACTATTGCTTTATTTGATATGCCGTTTCATTTTAAAGTTATGTTTTATTATGACTTTTCGTAATGGATCAGATAATAAGGTGTGCGTCCTTGGTTGCATATTTCATTGCTGTATAGTAATATAGAGAGGCGGTACACAAATTAAAAGTGAAATGAAATTGAAATGGGGGGGGTTGACAAGATGGCACCTCCACTGTGTCCCACACAATATAGGCCAGCTGACCCAAAGCTAAGCCTTGCATGAATATCCAAGCTGTGGCACTAACTACCCATGGGTCCTTGGCCATGTATGTGTTGCTTCCAACATTCACCACTGTGAGGTGTTGAGTTGCATGTGACGCTGCCCATTCCAAAAGCCTTTGCTCCTCTTTTCCAAGATCAGGGCTTGAGAAACATGTTGGCAAGTGGGATTAAAAGATCAGGTGCTCGCAGCAGGATGAGGAGTTGTTAAGTTGTCAAAAGCCACTCGGTACCAGTGTTTTATGCAAAGCACGATAGCAGCCCTTGTTCTGATCACTTTGGAAGAAGCCTATGGGAGGATGAGAACAGAAACATTGCTCCGCTCACATTTGTTATGATTTATGCAGCAATGAGCAGTTTTTCCTCATCCTGTGCTGTCTAGCTGTAAAATATATCAATGTTTTGCAATCATGCAGCGTGATGTGTGTGTGTGTTGCTGTTGTTGTTTTTTTAAAAAAATCCAAATTATTAATACATCAACAACAACAAAAAATTCCATGTAATAACATTGCAATAACTTTAAGACAGCATTGGTTTGCATATTGTCACTGAACTAATTGTTCCAAAATATCACCAAAACCACCCTTATCTCATTACCTTTGCAGCAGTAGAATCAGAATGGTCAAAGTGGAAGGGATCCAATGGTTCATCTAGACCAATCCCCTGCCATGCAAGAATTTAATAGCAACATAAGAAGCTGCCATATATCAATCAGAACACTGGTCCAGCTATCTCATTAATGTCTACACTGATTGGCAGAGGCTCTTCAGATTTTCAGGCATTCCCAGTCCTACCTGGAATTGACAAGGACTGAACCTGACACTGCTATTTTGAAGGCTCTATTGTCCTTGTCTCTTAGTTTCCCAGTTAGCTTTGCCATTTCAGCGTACTCCATCAGTTTTTCTTGCCATTCTTCTTTCGTTGGTATCTTGTCATCTTTCCATCTTTGGGCTAGTAACATCCTAGCCACTGTTGTGGCATGCATGAATAGTTTTTTCCACTCTTTTGGCAAGTCTTGACCTATAATACCTAACGAAAAAGCTTCTGGTCTTTTAGCAAAGGTTATCTTAAACATTCTTTTCCTTTCATTATAAATCATTTCCCAATTATATTACAGTGGTACCTCTGTATAAGTCTACCCCGTCCAGCGTCCATTTTGGCGGACGTCCGTGGCAAACCCGGAAGTATCGGAACAGGTTACTTCCGGGTTTGCTGCTCGCGGATGAGCAGAAGTGCTAAATCATGCTTCACGCATGCACAGAAGCACAAACCACTCCACACACGTGTGCAGAGTGGCACTTTGTCGAGCGTCCTTTTTGTCGAGCGTCCGGGGCTCAAAACAAGGTACCACTGTACTTACAAAAACATTGTAAAGACTCACTAGCAGGGTTTGATTAAACACTTACAATTAAGAAAACAAGGATAAAAGTTAATATGCAATAATGGGGAAATGATAAAGGGTAAGAGGTAATTTGGGGAAAAAATGGTACAAAAAGAATAAGAATATAACAATATTTAATTAAAAGATTATGAAATGAAGGTAGAATAAGACAGGCCAGAGAAGCAAATATTTAAAGAACCAGAAGAAGAAGTTGAGGGAAGTCGGGGGGGGGGCAGGGATTGGGATTCATAGATGTTCTTTGTGATAATAATGATTGTGTTGAATATAAAATTGTAAAATTTAATAAAAACTATTTTTTTTAAAAAAAGAACCCGGGACTGCTAGCATGGAATGCAGATACTCTGCCCCTGAACTATAGCTCTTCATCTTTCATTGCTTCCTTTCCAGTGAGCAACTTCAACACTTTTTTGAGCTAAACCTGAGATGGATAAAGAGTGCTTTACTTCGTTTTCATTTTCAACAGTAGCAGAGCCAATCTGAGTGAATTCTTCCGAAAGGAGTAATACATGCTAAAAGAATCATGTTCTGGGCAGCTTCCCAGTGCAATCGAGATGCACAGTGGATTTCTTTAAACCAACGACTTGGGAAATGAATTAGTTTAGCATGCCCCGGATTTCCTTACTAGGCTTGATGCAGTTCCAGATCCCACAAAAGGGAAACACACGTAAAAGTCCCTCGATGGACAAAGTCTGCTACTACATTGTGACAGCCATCCAGTGCCTTGAGGCAAATGGACTTGAAGCACTGTGGCCCCCAGATGGAAGAAGGATCTCCCAAACTGCTAACTCCCCCCCCCCCAGCCTGACTGCCAATTGCAAGTCTTGTTTAATTATTGGATGCACAAAGGAAGTTAAATTTTGTTGCCTCTGCCAGTGGTGGATATAAAGAGGCTATTAGAGGAAACGGGCAGTAGCTCCTTAGGAATTCCAGATAAGCGGGTGCCTCCACAGGGGCTCTGTTTCAAGGAAGCACTGATTGATTTAAGCCATGGATTGGGGCCAGGGACAGTTCCTGGTGCGGTGGAGTCCAGCTCCCGACCACAACCACTCCCCTCTCTTGCAGGAGGAGAGTCTCTATCAGTGCTGGGATAGCTCAGTTGGTAGAGCATGAGACTCCTGATCTCAAGGTTGTGGGTTCGAGCCCTATGTTGGGCATAAGATTCCTGCATTGCGGGGGGTTGGCTTAGATGTCCCTGGCAGTCCCTTCCAACTCTACAATGCTATGAATGCAACTGGTCACCATGACTATGCTCTGCCTCCATGCTCAGAGACAGTAAAGGTAAAGGGACCCCTGACCATTAGGTCCAGTCGCAGACGATTCTGAGGTTGCGGCGCTCATCTCGCTTTATTGGCCGAGGGAGCCAGCGTACAGCTTCTGGGTCATGTGGCCAGCATGACTAAGCCGCTTCTGGCGAACCAGAGCAGAGCACGGAAACGCCGTTTACCTTCCTGCCTATTTATCTACTTGCACTTTGATGTGCTTTCGAACTGCTAGGTTGGCAGGAGCAGGGACCGAGCAACAGGAGCTCACCCCATCGCAGGGATTCGAACCACTGACCTTCTGATCGGCAAGTCCTAGGCTCTGTGGTTTAACCCACAGCGCCACCCGAGTCAGAGACAGTAAATGCTTCCAAATACTCACTACTGGAAACCTTAAGAGAGCAGAGTGCTATGTTGCTCCTGTCTGTCTTGAGGGTTTCCCACAGGCATGGTGGACTACATAGACAATTGGCCTGATCCAGCAGGCTCTTCTTATGCTATTATGTTCTTATGTAAAAGAGAATTGGACAATTTCATGGCCATTGGAGGCTACTAGCCATGATGGCAGTGGTGTGCCTCCGATGGGATGTGGGTGGCACTGTGGTCTAAACCACTGAGCCTCTTGGGCTTGCCGATCGAAAGGTTGGTGGTTCGAATCCCCGCGACAGGGTGAGCTCCCGTTGCTCTGTCCCAGCTCCTGCCAACCTAGCAGTTTGAAAGCACACCAGTGCAAATAGATAAATAGGTACCGCTGTGGCGGGAAGGTAAAGGGCGTTTCTGTGCACTCTGGTTTCTGTCACAGTGTTCTGTTGCACCAGAAGAGGAGGAGAAGGAGTTTGGATTTGATATCCCACTTTATCACTACCCTAAGGAGTCTCAAAGCAACTAACATTCTCCTTTCCCTTCCTCCCCCACAACAAATACTCTGTGAGGTGAGTGAGGCTGAGAGACATCAAAGAAGTGTGACTGGCCCAAGGTCACCCAGCAGCTGCATGTGGAGGAGCGGAGACGCGAACCCGGTTCACCAGATTACGAGACTACCGCTGCTGGCCACATGACCTGGAAAGGAGGAGGAGGAGTTTGGATTTGATATCCCGCCTTTCACTCCCCTTCAGGAGTCTCAAAGCGGCTAACATTCTCCTTTCCCTTCCTCCCCCACAACAAACACTCTGTGAGGTGAGTGGGGCTGAGAGACTTCAAAGAAGTGTGACTAGCCCAAGGTCACCCAGCAGCTGCATGTGGAGGAGCGGAGAGGCGAACCCGGTTCACCAGATTACGAGACTACCGCTGCTGGCCACATGACCTGGAAAGCTGTCTGTGGACAAACTCTGGCTTCCTCAGCCTGAAAGCAAGATGAGCACCGCAACCCCATAGTCGCCTTTGACTGGACTTAACTGTCCAGGGGTCCTTTGCCTTTGCTCTGCCTCCATGGTCAGAGGTAGCAATGCTTTTGAATACCAGCTGCTGGAAACCACAGGAGAGGAGATGGCTCTTATGCTCAAATCCTGCATGTGGGTTTCCCACGGTCTTCTGGTTGGCCTTGTGAGAACAGCATTCTGATCCATGCTAGAAGGGTTCTTGGCCTCTTCTTGTAGTGATGCACCATGAGTAACATAATGCAGTAACTTATCTCTCGTCTTCTTCTGTGCCCTTGCTGCACATCTCTCAGAGACTACGGCAGTATATCAACGCTTGAAATTTTTAAGCCATCAATTCTGTCGCCTTCCATCGTGGGATCCTTGCTGCTCTTGACTGTCAAGGGGAAATCATCCTTTAAATGGCATGGCCAGCTGAAAGGCTCTCGGAAGCAACAGCAGCTTCCTGTTTAGCAGGAATCCATCGACCCAGGAATGCGTTGCCGGAGTGGGCTGGGAAGCGGGAAGAGGGAGACAGGAGATAAGAGGTGCCCATGGCTTCTCCGCCCAGCCCAGCAGATAAGCATCATGCCTGCAGACTTCTTGTCCGGAGATCTCCTTATCTCCAGCCCCTCCTTCCTTCCTCCCCATGCACACCCTCGGCGTCTTCATGGGCCCCACCAGCACCAGCTGCTTGATAAAAAGAGACTGGAGGAAAGAGCAAGGGAGTGGGGAGAGGGGTGGTTTCACAGGCAGGACAACACCTGCCTTATCTGCAGAGGGAAATGTGAATAAGAGAGTCATGTCTTAAGAGGAAAGAAAGGAACAGGCAAGCACAGGTGGCCTGCTGAGGGACAGGGGTCTCCAGTACCACTGTGGGGTGTGCAGGCCTGATTTGGAGGAATAAAGAAGTATGTAAAGAGGGCAGAAGTCCAGGGATACAAGGAGGGAATGGCTTAAATAACTATTATATAGCATGCTTTTATTTCTTATACAATTATAGAGGCACATGGTTGCTCAGTGCCTCCAATACATACAGGTATGCAAATGTGTGGCTTATATAGTACCTTTATAATGATTGAACTTACAGGTGGAGAATCCTTTTACAGTGGTACCTCGGGTTACATACACTTCAGGTTACATTCGCTTCAGGTTACAGACTCCGCTAACCCAGAAATAGTGCTTCAGGTTAAGAACTCTGCTTCAGGATGAGAACAGAAATTGTGCTCCGGCGGCACGGCGGCAGCAGGAGGCCCCATTAGCTAAAGTGGTGCTTCAGGTTAAGAATAGTTTCAGGTTAAGTATGGACCTCCGGAACGAATTAAGTACTTAACCCAAGGTACCACTGTATTTTTATGCATCATTATTGTTTGTAAAGGGGCTCTTTGTATGAGTGACTACTTTGTTGTCTCTTTGGAGCTGCGTGGTATCTCGGTACCATTGCCGTTCTGGGCTGCGACGCTGAATGGTTTGGTTTGGTTCAAGTTGGCACCACTGCCAACCCGCTACGCCACACCGGATACACAGAGAGAGAGTTTTCGAGAACATAAGCAAATTTATGCATGATTCACTCCAGTTCCATGCAATTTTGTACACAGTGCTTGACCAGCACTGCAAAAGTAGAGGTGTAAAATTTCGAAGGATGGCTGACTTTCAGTTCTCGTATTTTGGGGGGATGTGTGAATTAGGAAGAGCCACTTTTCAATGTGATGTGGTATGTGTGGGGCTGCCCTTGGACCTGATTCAGAATCTCCGGCTGGTGCAGAAGGCTGGTGGAAAGATTGCCAATGCATTTGGTTGACAGCATTTGACACCATTGCTGAAGGTTCAAGCTCCTGGTGTTAATTTACAAAGCTCTGAACGACTTAGGTCCGGGGTACCTCTGGGATCACCTGAGTCCTTCTGTCCCAGCTTGGTAGCTGAAATCATCTCAGAAGCATCATTGGTTGTGCCCTGAGTTGGTGAGGCTCATTCAATAGCAACAAGAAACAGAGTCTTTGGTGTCATCTGCCCAGTCTTGAGAAACACCCTACCAATAGAGATTCAACCAGCATCTTCTGTTTCAGCTTTCAAATGCCTGCTGAAATTTTTTCTATTCCATCGGGCTTACACAGGCAATTCAGAACGCATCTATCCACGGTAGTTAGTGATTTCTGATTTTAAGTTTTTCATATGGTTTTGACGGCATGGTTTTGCGTACAGTTGTTGTAAACTGATTTTTTTAAAAAGAATATGAATAGCAATATGTAAATATTTAAATAGGTTGACTTAATCAACCAATCGGATTGAAGCCCCCATCCCGATTAACCTCTATTGAGCAGTTTTTAGCTGTGATTCCTGCATTGTCAGGACTAGAAAACCCACTAGGTCCCTTCCAACTCTACAATTCTATTACTCCAGACCCTCCAAGTGTCCCTGTTTTCCAGGGACAGTCCTGGATTTACAGAAGCCATCCCAGTTTCTGATTTGATCACGGAATATCCCGCTTTTACTTAGGATGCCCCAATTTTCATCAGAGAAATGTTGGAGGGTATGGAGTTATGCAACTCCTAAGACAAGGGGATAAGTAACTATACAACCTTTAGAAGACATCTGAAGGCAGCCCTGTTTGGGGAAGTTATTTAATGTTTAATGTTTCATTATGTTTTTATATATTTTGGAAGCGCCCCAGAGTGGCTGGTGTAACCCAGTCAGACGGGCAGGGTATTATTATTATTATTATTATTATTATTAAATAGGACATCCCTACTTTCATCAGAGAAATGTTGGAGTGTATGTGATTCTATGGGAATGGGGGGTTGCATCCTTGGAAGGTTTAAAAGCTTCCTCCCTCCTGTCTACTGGATACACGGTGTGTATTCCTCTCTCTCTCTCTCTCTCTCTCTCTCTCTCTCTCTCTCTCTCCCACTCCCATTTTTTTAAAGGCCAGCTTCTCACCCACTTGGAGTCCGCAGATACAAACAGGCCAAGGCCCAGCTTCCTGCTTTAAGAAGTGAAAGCGCTGCAGGCTGCCTGCCAGGGAGGCCTTAATATAGTCCAAGGTCTAAATTTAATCACAATAACGCGGCTCCAGTCTGCCCCTGCAAAGAGAAGTTTGAGCACAGTGGGTGGGTGGAGGGAAGCAATTCTTCACCAATCAGGAAAACAATGGAGGTCTCTTTCAAGTGTCAGCGAATATTCTTAGCTGCCCTCCGACACCTAAATCAAGAGCGGGGTTGTTAAAATGGCATAATACCAGGAAGCTCGCTTACAAGGACGGCTTCCTCCTTGGAGACCGAAGCCCAACAGGCTCGGAGCCACTGTGCTCGGGAGGAACCGGGCGGCATTGGAGGGGGGGCCAAAGAGAAAGAGACAGAGAGAAAGAGGGTGGGGAGGGCAGGGATGTGAGCGGGGTGCTTTTTCAGGAAAATCAAACCTGGACACCAAACACCGTCGTAGATCTGAGGTGGTAGGAAAACACCCAAACGTCCTGTCCAAGTCACACCAAAAGCCTCCTTTTCCCATCGCCTCCTGTCCCGGAGTTTCCTGACCCTGCTTTCG